GTCAAAAAAGCTTAACCTCTGGTAAATCTCCATGTTGGCACAGCAGACACTTCAAAGCTGCCCTCCTTCTGTGCAAGTCTTGCTTGTGTACAACCAGGCCAGCATCATCTACTGCTCTCACCTCATCCACAAACCAAATCATTTTGTCACAGATGATCATCCATCAGATCAGGCATCACTTAGCCAGCCTCCATCTTCTGCCTGGTGTGCTTGTACTTGCCTAAGGGTTCTTGCTTCACAGATGCTTTCCCCTGGGACTGGAAATGAGACAATCAGCCTTCCTCAGATTGCTCCATATGCCCTTCCTTTAGATGGGTACAACATTTCTTTTCCCTTGGCCATTTGGGGCCTTCTCCAGTCTCTATGATTCACCAGAGCTGAAGGGGAACAGCCTTTTGAGGATACAGGATAGCATCCTCGGCACCCTTGGGTGCAGACCAGCTGGGCTCACAGGCACAAGTAGGTTGAAAGCCACCAAGTACTTTATCATCTGTCCTCCCTCAAGCAGCTGGTTCAAACATGCTTTTTAACCTCCACTGGCTGTAAAGCAACTAGTGACTGTAGCATCTCAGACAGAACTATGTGAAGTATTCTGGTATTTTTATTGTCATTCTGTTCTGCTGTGACTGTCACTTTCCAGTGTTTTCTGTTTTTAGCATACTTCCAATTTTTTAAGAGACTGTTCCAGTCTGTGTCATTCATCTTTAGATGGTGAAAGCAGCCTTGTGGAGGATTTTCCCACATATAAAAATTTCCATGTGTGACTATTTTAATGCTAGAAAGATGTTCAGTTGATGTAATTAAGTTTCTGTTCTCATAGTTTCATCCAAATTAACTGAAGTACATGAATTACATGGCTGCACTGTCAGTCTGGAAGATTTAGAGTTTTCTGAAGAATCTTTGAAGAGGCTACTAGTAAAAATTCAGCCTTCAAAGGTCAAGAAGGGCAAAAGTCCTCTATATTGATTGTAGATTTTGATACATTAATAGGTAAAAACAATGTGATTTCAAAAATAAAACCCTAGCAGAATGTGTTTGCCAAACACATAAAAGGCAGATGTCTGCAATTACTCTTAAGAGGGTTTAAGATGCTGAATTTACTAAAATTGAAGCTAAAAAATAACTACCAAGTTGAGAAACAGTTACCCCTCACATGCTAGATCTAATCCATCTGAAAGCAGTTTCCCTGGAATTTCACCTTGTACCTTGGCCAGCTGAAGTAACACTTAGAAGGTCTCTTAGTGTTTCTTTCACATGTGCCCTCTCTTCACAGATAATGGCAGGAGGAGTCAAGGTAGGAAATTTCGAATCAAGGTGGCAAGGTTGGGAGAAGTCTTGTGTTTTAAGGAAGGAGAAAGCCTGTGAGATGGGAGATACTGAGACAGCAGGAACAGACCTCCTTCTCTGTGCCCTTAGTTACACACGCAGGCAGCAAAGCTTAAAAAGCAGCAAAGGAAAACACTTTGAGTAATTGCTGTGAAATCAAAGTGAAGTTTCTCTTTGGCCCTTCTGATTTTGGTCATTTGAAAAGAACTAGAGCTCTCCAAAGGTCTGTTGCCCTAGGGAGCAGGGAGGTTATCACAGTGAAGTATTTTTTTTGCTGCATTTCCTGGCATGGTAGCTATTTAATTTAAATTTCGTGGGGAGGAAGGAAGAAGGGTGGGATGTGTGGTACTTGTTTTGCTTTCTATTAGAAGTGCTTGAAAAAGATAAATTAATTGTGTAGTCTGGATATTTATTTTTTCATTGCTCTCTCATTGCTGTCTCGTTGTTAAGGATTTATATATCTCACAGGCAACAGCTGCTCAGTGCTACAGTGCCACAGGCACAGCAGAAAGAATAAATGCTTTTGCCCTCACTGTCCCAATACAGGCTCACCTGGGCTTGCTCTGGTGTAAAAGCAAATCCCCTCTGCTCTTGGGGGCCCCTGTAGCAACAGGAATTGAATGTGCCAGGATGCAAGGCTTGCACATGTCTCCTGTGTTAACTCTTGAGAGCACCTCCTTGTTCTGCATGCCCAGCAAAGACATGCCACGTGGGTAACATCACTTGGTATGTTGTTAAAAACAGGTCTGCTATTTTTGCAGAACTTGAAAAGGCTTAAAGGGTGGGGTGGACTAACTCAAAATTAAGGTCAACAACATTTCAACTCCTGCTTCGAGATGAGATATTGTGAAATCATCCTAATAATCTAATGGTTCAAAGCAGTAATTAAGATTTAACTGCCTGGTGAAAGCAATGTTTAATTAACAGCAGTCTGTTATTAAATGAGGTTATGAGCCTAGGTTATGACCTACAGACATGTCATGTGCACTCTTCCAGTACATTTTCCATACTATCATGATTTCACATCAACACTGGGAAATCTCTATTTCCAGCATCACTAATGCTGGAATTCACACAGATTTTGCCAAAATATACTAAAGATTCACTCATAACTGTTGATGCTGTGCCACAATTTTCACTTTCCCTATCACACACCAGTCAGTAAATTACACTTTGAAGCCTTATGACAATTTCTGCTCCCCACTCCCATGTGTAGCAAAGGCAAGTTGTCTGAAAGAAAAAGAGATAAAGGGTTTTGATTGTAAAAACTAACTTCATCAAAGATACTGAAGATTTTAGTAATTAAAACATTTTCTACTAAAATATTCCTGAAATATTACTTGCTTAAATGAGAGAATGAAGGGGGTCATGTCCCTGAATTTTTATTTTTTTTTTTTAATTAAGATGTACAAGATTAATATGTTTTCATGGTACAGAATAAAACACCATTGGTTGTATATATATATATATGACTCTATCTCCCAGAAGGCCTAGGTTTCCAAGTCCAGAGGAAATACTTTTTTTTTTAAAACATGGCTAGATCTGTATCTGTCAGAAAAAGTTCCAGCATCCTGTTTTGGAATGTGTGACATGGAATTTAAAAGATGGCATCTGCTCAAGAGCCATCCTGACACGTTCTTAGCAGGATTTTTTTAATCTTTTACACAACTTAGTGGTTTCCTTAGGGAACTTTGAGAACTTCAGGGTTTTTTAAAGAAAACAATATATTTTTAAATATACTGGTTTACTTCAAGGATTTGGTTGTGTTCTTATCTTCTTCTTGTCAAGCTCTATTATAGATACAGAAAACAGACAAACTAAAACAAATACTGGCAGATCCTAGAAGAATGCAACCATGTTTCAGACTCCAGCACCAAACCTCAGTTTGAGAGGCACAGTATTTAAATGAGGGCACTGAGCAGAATATTTCCTGCTTTGTATACGCTGTGTATATACGGCACAGCAAATAAGGCAGACAATGCAAACACAAACATCTGTATGAAGAACTCTCAGATCCAGGAAAGGGAAGGGATAAAAAAAGAAACGGGGGGAAAAAAGAAAGGGAGGAGAGGGGGTGGTGAAGGAAGGGGGGACCAAGATGAAAAAAAAATCCAAACCATTAGCTGTATGCAAAGAGTAACAAACTAACTCATTTCAGGTATAAAACAGAAAGATTAGAGTATTCCAGAAAGATAATAGTAACATCTTGAAATGACTTGAAAGATCAGATTAGTTAGATGTCGCCCTGAAGACTCAGTTTTCTGAGCTTGCTGACATAGTTTTCTAAAAACTTTCCCAGGACAGCAACTGTAAACATAGGTAAGTATACATTCTTTCTGATACACATCTTGTGATGGACACCACTCACGGCCAGTGCAGATAGGAAGGTGTTATCCTGACTATCCAATCCCTGGGTGTGGTCAGAAACCTACAAATTCTGAGAGAAGAAATAAAGCTCTCTTCCTTTCACCATACCCTGAGCTGTGTTCGTGTGATCCTATTCTTCTCCAGCAACAACAGTTAGATTCTTAAAAATTGAGTAAGTATATCTGTATAAAGTTTGCTGGCTTGATTTCAGATAAAGAACATAATCTAAAGGTTATTGCTTTTCGTGTCTGTTAAGGCACCTGCAAGGCTGTTGTCTGTCAATAGCAGGTTAATTTGTCACACTGTAATCTAGGGAATTAAAATGCACTAAAATGATCCATTGAAAAGATAATTTGAAAACGATGGAAACTTGTCTAGATTATTGAAACATTAAGCTAAGGATGAATGGTATTGATATTTGGAAGACATTTTACATTACATAATTTTCCTTATTTAAATTTACTGAAGAGGTACTCCCTACAATATTAGCTCTTCTAGTTATTATGTGACTAAAAGAAAACCACTACTATAATTTTCAATGAAAGAAGATATAAATTTAAAAACTGAAGTATTGCCGCAGAAGTTGTATTAAATTATGTTTATTATTTTTAATGACTGCCGCAGCAATTCAGAACTGGCAACAGCGCTGAATCTGAATCCTCCTGAGCAGCACAGTACATATATGTTGAAGCAGATGACCTCTAGTTTCATTTTTATCTTGTACTGCATTCACGTCATGACCTGGATCAGTTTTTAACTGTCAGACCCCTTGAAAATGCACCAAGTAATGGTGATCTGACTGGTGACCTTGATTATAACTGCAGTGTTGTGCTTTTTCTGTCATTTTCTTGTGCTTGATAGGGAGAAGCAAGAGGCAAACACATGCTCCCTTGTCAAACCAAACCTCAGTCAGGCAGGAGATAAAAGCACAAGTATTAGGTTTCTGGGATCAAATCAGCCTTTGATCCTAAAGGCTTTCAGCCTTTAGGTGATCCTTAGTGATATAGGATACTTGTTACCACAGTTATCTGTAAACAGGTAAATTGTTGTTACTATTACTAATACCACTCAAAAAGCTTATGTGTTAAATGGGGACTGAACTAGATCAGTGTCTTCAATGCACTGCTCTCTTTTGGAAAGCTCTGCTATGAAAAATTAAATTATGTCAAGGGACTTTGAATAGCATACCTGGCACTTCAGCAACTATTTCAGTGGCTACTGATTGCTTCCCAGCAATGCTGGTCAGCTGAACTGAGAAACTGAAGCAGCTTTAAACCACAAAAAAAATAAAAAAGAAAGAAAGGAGAAAAAAAAAATTATTATTCAGTAGGCAAAATGCAAACCAGTTTCACTCCTAGCAGCCCACAGGATGACGGGATCATGGTGGGAAGGCTGGTGTAAGCTGGGTGTGTGACTTGGGCAGCACCATAGCTGAACCCACCATCACAGCTTTGATACCTGCTGCTCTATCCTCTGTCCATCTTAGCACAGGTCTGTATGTTGCCTTCTTCCTTCACTTGGAACCTGACAGTGATCAGAGTAAATCAGCAGTAGAGCATCACTGTATTCAGTAGGTATGGTTGAAAGGCTTATCAATTAATTAATTACTAATGTTTTGTTACTCCTGACAAGTGCCCAGCGTCTTCAGCACAGCATCAAGACTAGCTTGTTGTGCAGTATCGGTGAATCATTTTTCTTTCATGTTCACTTATGTTAATATTAGACTTTTTTACTCCAGTTTTCTAAATATCTAGTAGAAAAGTGAAACAAGTTATGAAAAGAACTGCTAACATCAGTAAGGAATATAGTCTAGATTTTATTTGTTTTACTGGTGCCACAAAGGCACTTGATTTAAAAATGATGATTATTTTGGCTAAGTTTCTTGGCAGATTCCGTAGAATAATAATGCTGCAAAATGTGGAATGTGCCAAGATTATCTTAGGTCATTTTAAGGATATTCTCTGATCCAACGTCTTTGTGCACTTTCAAGTATAATTAGCAAGAAAGGAAAGCTAACCAGAGGAACAGACAGCAGCCAGCATCCTTTAGTGGACTAACAAGCTTCAAGGATGTAGAAAATCAAGCTTTTGTTTTACGTCAGTAGAACAGACAGCAGTTAGCAACCTTACTCAAGCACAACCTGGAACTAACAAGCTTTAAGAATGTAGTAAAACAGGATTTTGATGTATGTCTAATTTACATATTGCTAACTTGGCAAAATACTCAAGGCCCATGTATCCTATAGCTGAACTATGAACTATGTTCATTTTAATACTAAAAATTGTGCCTACAAGTAGAAAAAAAAGACTCCTATCCATGTGAAGACTCTTCCCCTGAGCATGTGTATAAATTAGCTGGGATTATGTCACTTGTATGGAAATTACTACGAAAGCATAATAGAGAGGCTGTACCCCATGACAACTTGAGAAGTAATAAACTCTGAACTTCTGTGTATAAGTAACAGCAGGGAGGGTCTGGAGGTGTGTGCTTGAATTGTGAGAACCCAAGCTTGCACAGATGTGAAATGAATCACATTCAATCAATGTGTCTCTCTCAGCTGTATGGTTATTGGCTTGTTGCTCACCAGGTAACAAATCTGATTTTGTGGACAACACTAATTTACACTGGATTGCTTTCTTTACTTGTTACAGCTGGTGAAAGTGTTTTTTCTTTATGTGTACTTGCAATATCCTTTAATTAATTCAGTAATTTCCTTTGGCATATTCTGTACTTGCTCAGGAAATAGAGTTCTTTCCATGAAAACATCTTCCCAGAACATTTAAATTCCACCAGAGCAGGGTCACTTCTCTTGTCAGCTTTGGAGAGGTGGGTTTTTTTGTAGTTCACTTTACCTAGAAAAAATTCTTCCCTACCTTAGGGAAAAACATATGCTTTACAGCAATGCTCTCTTTTCCTTCTGTACAGAAGATAGAGTGAGCATACACAGGATTGCTCTTGACTTCATCTAAATAGTAATACTGGCTGATATTTATGCATCTCATCAAGCAGCATCCTCACTATCAATAGCAGCAGTATTATTAATAACAACATAAATACAAGCAGGCATTCATTGTATTACAAAAATGACTAAGTACAAATCAGACTGAAAGAGGTAGGGTAAAAATGCTCTGTCAAGTAGATTTCAAGCAACTGAGACAGCAGTCCACCTGGTGCACAGAATATTTTATTATTTTTCTTCACTTTTTCAGTCTTTTTGAAGACTTAAAGTCCTGGCCTCATAGAAGATATTCATGTAGACTGTCTTTAGGTGCAAATTCTTAAAAACTGCTTTCTGCTAAAAATGACTTCCTGGAAATTCTCAGTACTATATGCAGTGAAGTTTGTTGTAGCTTCTGCAAAGGTGAAAAAGCACAGCTGTCTACAAAATCATTCCTGGAGACAAGCCAAAGTGTGGGGAAGATGGGGTATTTCCCTCAACTGCCTTTGCTCACAGGCTTTAATTAGGTGCTAATGTGAAAGTCTCTGAAAACTCCCTGATCAACTTTCAGGTGGTTTTGAAGGGAGGGCTTGCTAAAACCAGGCTCCATTTCAGATTAAACGGCTTGACTCCCTAGCTGTTTGCATGATCACCAGTAAGCAGTCCTGTATGTCTAAGTTTCTTCTGAGAAACTTCAGAACAAACTGCTTTTGTAAGAAACACAGCCTGCAATTACAGCACCAGTTCACAAATAAAAAAATTTAGTCTGTTTCGCCCATTGCTAATGCTTGAATTCCACTGCCATCTCAGGATTGAGACATCTGGCAGTAACTACGCCTGACAAACCTGAATTGATACAGAAGGAAACATCATCCTTCACAGTGTCCTCTTCTTTCATCCCCAAGCTTCTGTGCCACACTGCAACAGCTAAAGCAAGCAAGGGCCTAACTGGAATTAAAATCAGATGAACCAGTTAAATCAAAACAAGCACAGACTGAATGAATGTGGAGCTGCAGCTTCAGTCATGTACGGAAAACCATAGTAAACATATCTTTGGCCTTTATCATTAGGAGTTACATCATTGTGATGTTTTCAGAGGGACTTTATTTGTAATTTACAACTTCTAATTGTAGGAAGAGACAATATAATTTAAAAAAATAATTTTATTTTTTCCAAAATTAGTGTTAAAATAATCTGGAATACAAGTTGAGCTTAACAGAAAGCAGAAACCAGCAGTTCCATCAGTAATATTTAGACACTACTGCAGTTCTTTAAGTTTTGAGAAGCTTGAGTGATTTTGGATACAAAAGCAAAACTCCCCATACAGTAAGAAATGTAAAATTACAAGTCTAAATCTCATCAGGCACAAAACTTAAGTTTCCCTGAGAAGATGTAATTACAAACTAGTGTATAAAGTACTTACACAATATATATCACAATATCAGGGTGCTTTAAGAATAGAAAATAAAGATTTGAATTCCTTAATACTCCATGCTGAAGACAAAATTTTCAAGAGGATTAACAATTCCATGTAAAAGAACTGCAGCAAACAGATCTAAGTAAAATGGTAATAGCTGGCTTTGCATATCCCCTTTTGCACAGCTTTTAGATCATTTCTAATGTTATATTCCTGAGATCTTTCAGTACTTAATATGAAGTGCAGTCCAGCTGCTTTTTACCCCACCCCCTCATCTATCTCTTCCAGCTAGCATTACATTCATGGGAAAAAAATAAAAATGAGAATAACCATGAACAATATGCATTTTCTATGCCTTAAAACAATTTAGCCAAAGGAAGTCCATTAATTATGCCTTCTACATAATAAATATTCCAAATAGTTGGCTTTCCAAAAACTGCTGTCTGATTTTGTACCTAAAGCTCCACGCCTCAGTATGCCACAAGGCATACTTGAGACATTTCTTTTTCTCCCCCTTGTCCATGGACAAGGCAGGGCATGAGCACCACCACACCAACATGGTAAGAGTCATTATACCCATTATCAGCATCACCACCGTTGCTGTAGCACGTTAAAGTATGTCGCAGTAGGGTATTTGCACCTTTGTATAAATACCTAACAGGAGCATACATTTCAGTTCTTTTGCAGATACAGAGCTTTGTGCCGCAAATACTCTTCCAAGCACTTCACCGCAAAAGGGTCGACATCAGTGTCAAACTTATTAGCAAATAAGTGGTGGTTTCGTAGCATCCAGTTCAAGTCTCCTACTCCAAAAACACAGACAGAGCGAATGTGAACTCCACTGCATGGTGGGTAGGGTGCACCTTTGGACACATCACCTTCAAAGTACTGCCACTTGACAAATCTGGCCAGTGCATTCATGTCAGAAACGTCATACTTGTCACTGGAAGAAAATGCGCCTGGGACTTCAGGGATTCTCTGAATTGTTGCCCACAGGTACTCATCTGGGCTGTAAGTATCTTTCGCCCACTCAATGAACTTAAGTATTTTGCTGTTTTCTAGTACATATTCTACAAAGCTTCTGCTAACTACAAAATAAGCACTGCCAGAAAAAACTGGGGTACTGAGAGGTGGTAGCTGTTTGTCTATGCCTGTGTTCTTTATTTTACCATCAACAATCTCATGGTGTTTTTTCCACCTTACTTCTTTATAAACTGGCATTTTTTCTGTTTCCAAGCTGTTTTCACCCTTAAGGGCTTTTAATTTCTCTACTATTTCCTGGTTTGTCTTTATAGGAAAGTCCATACCACATAGGTTTATTAGGTATTTCCAGTTTGAACTTCTTCTGTAGAGATCTTTCATGCAGTTAATGTCCGCCTGCACTCTGCTCCATGAAGCATATACCACACTTTCTAACTGGCTGGAAATAAAGACATTATCAAAACATGAGACTATTCCCTTCACAGCAGCAAAAAAGGATTCTGGAGACTTTTTGTCTACATGAATGCAGTAAAAATTCTGTGGAGCGTAGATTGATCTTAGAAGTCTATCAAGCATCTCAATTTTGTGATAAACAACTATTGAGTAAGCAATTGGAAATTCTGCTTCTTCATTACTGAGAGGCTCCATAATGTATTTCCTAGTCTTGGTGAAGGAGGCACAGTCTGCAGTCATGTTAATATAATCATCTATTGTTAGTCTGGGGCGTTTCTTAAACGATACTGATAATGCCTCAAGCTGTACCTTTTGTATTTCTTCTATATCCCCCTCAATAATCTTGGTGCAGTTAACATTGCTAATAGGATCTTCCTTTGTTAGCTCCAGATGTCTCCGATTCAGGAAGTCTTCTTTCTGGTTAACTTTCAAAACTGAAATTATTACTAAAATGAGAGTTAGACCCAAGAAAAGCTTAAAGCGCAAGTTGTGGCAAAACCGTAACTTCCTCTTCAGCATTTCAAATACCAGGTAGCTTTGCAGGACTTAAAAAAAAAAAAAGGTTCTCCTTCTCTGTTCATATGAGCTTCAACAACTTCAGAAAAAAATTTTGCGTTTTGCAGGAATTTGGCAAGTTTTTCAGGGAAATGGAAGGAAAAATCCTAAAATAAAATGGAATATGACAGTCATTCTTAGACTAAAAGGTTTCTTTAAAAAAATCAGTGATTAATAATGATATTCTCAATTAGTGTCAGTAAAAAGCTGAATAGTTCAGCCAAAAATATTCTGTTGAAAATTAAAAACTAATCAATTTTTTAAAGAAAACCACTGGGAGAAGCAGACAACATTCATGAAACTTTCACAGTGCTAATGCTACTAACTGAACTTTGGTAAGAAAATAGAGCTGATTCAGCTGTATCTATAGATGTTATAGATCTATAAAACTGAAGTCAGATACACTAATGAGAAGCAAGTATTTCTCGTTAATTCATGCCTTAGAGCTTGATAAGAATGTTTAATAACCACTTCAGGGTTGACATAGATTTCTTTATCATTGAAACTTACCACTCACTTCGGGGATGTTAGTCATGCTTTAGTTCTCACTGGCAAAAAGCCACTGCACTCTTTCAAGATTTCTGTGTGATACATGGTCTCGTCAACATCCTGCATGTGCACTTAGAAATACCACCAGGAAAGAAAGAGCTGATGAGAAGTGTGAGAAAGAAAAAGGTTATTATAGCAGGGCACCTCAATTTTCACAGTTGTGAGAAAAACTGTTACTGAATTGCTGAAATAGCTTTATTAGGTAAGAGGCAATAGTTCTGACCCATATCTCCAGCTGTTTTTATCAAGTCACTGCAAGTGCACAAATCTAAGTGCACAGCAGTGTTGTGCTACCATCATTTAAACACACTTGTTTTTATGACTCAGCAATTGTTTTTATGTGGAGGTTTGCTGCAATGCTGGATTTCAACAAGATTTCTAGCCAATTTTATTTTCTGCTTTACTGCACAAGCACTAGGTAATTTTTGTTTGTTAGTTCTTTAAGCACATGTTTTCTGTTTCAGTACTCTCTGAAAAGAATCACTGGAGTTGTGCAGCAGCTTAATCTGTATCTGTTGAGAAAACCACGCTCTAGAACAGCAGAACCGGCTGACTTTTTTTTTCTGAAGGTGCTACTTCATGCAGGTAAATTGATCAAGAACAGGATATCCTTAAATAACTTACGTTGCTACTCAGATGCCAAATCTAATCACAAACTCACTGCCTAACAATTTAGTGCAGGTTTGAATTTCAAACCAGCCTCTACATGCAGAAGCCCACACAGTTTACAGATAATGTCTTCCAAAACATGAATGTGTAAGTTTATGAAATATAAAATATTTGAGAGATACAAGGTTCCTTACATTTTTACTACTTTCAAGAAAAAAGACAGTGCCTCAGAACAACTTCTTGAATAGCTCTAAGAATAACAGCTACTCAGAAAGACTGGTAAGAAACTCTGTTTAAGAAAAATAATTATGTACTGTGTCCACTTCTGTGTTTTGCCATAAGCTATTCAGTGTAAGAATTTCTTTTTCCTGCCTGTTTTCTTTAAGCTACCCCAGCTCCATTTTGGGTTTTAATTCCTAAACCCTGGCTCTTAAGCTGCTACTTTCAGATATCAGAACAGGTGCATTTAGGAAACTAAGGGATGGCATCACAGAGTTTTTTGTTAGTAATGCTGCCCGGGATGCATTATACATTGGGTCCACCACTTTGCCCGTGGCACTGCAAACTGACTGGGGGAATGTGGTAGGTGGGAGGAAGGTGTGGAACACTGCGGAAACATCTAGCACAGCTATGGGAATCAGCAATTTTTAAGTACTGTAGTCAAATATTTTATATTTCAAGCCAACAGCAGGCAGAGACACAAACTAGACACAAATTTATGTGACTAACAGCATTATATAAATGTTTGATTTATGCTGAAGTGTACTTTGTTTTCAGAATTACAATTTTAAGTATTTTACCCTGCCTTTCTATTTCATTTTAAGGAAGGCAAACATTTGTTCACAGTATATTTTAGGTGTACGCTGAAGTCAAACTGGAAGAAAATTTAAATTTTAAAACTTAAGAAAAGTAGCCCCATGAGCTAGCATACAATTCAGCTGAGAGCACACAGAGGGAAATTCTAATAGTTAAGGTCTTACACTTTGAATTAAAAAAAGATTAAAAAGAAAATTCCAAAATTCTGGATTTCTGCTTGCAATATGACATCAAATAACATAATATAGAATTAACATAATTTAGAACATGTTTTAACATGCTTTGTAACTTATCACAGACTTTTGTACTTGATGTCCTGCTTGTTTTCACTACTAGATCTAACCCACTAAAAATAATATTTATCACATACTAAATTAACAAAAATATATGATAATGTCCATTTGGTATATATTTTCATAGGATGAAGCTTGTGATACTGGTTAACCTTCAATTACTGTATTCTGCCTACAAACTTAAAAATTAAGACATTTCTAGAACTTAGAGTGTGCTTAAAATACAGCTATATTTGTGATACTTTAGCTGACACTGGAATCCTTTCTTTAGGTTGCTAGCACTATTATTTTATCCTATTCTTAGTTTTCATAGGAGCACTACCATTGAGAAATAACACACACTCAAGAAGATTACCAAGCCATCACTGTTCCAGTGGAGGCAGACAGTCTTAACTGAAAGTGACCATGGCAGTCTTCACCTTCTAACATTTTCAAAGAATAAAGCTTGCTAAGAAGTCTTTCCTGCTCCCATTTTAGAATGAAAACTAAGAAAATTTAGTTGAGTGCAGGATAAAGAATTAAAAAAAAAATCCTTTCATAAAGATCTTGTATACCCAGCTGGGTGCAATTGCTCTATTGTTCAGAGCTCAGAATAATCAGACCCGGCATTTTCATTATAACAAAATGAGAGATCTGCAAACATTTACACATTAACATGGCTCTTATCTTTATGTGGATTTTTTTTCCCTGCAAATTTATTTCATTGGTATACTGTTTCCTCAGACCAATTTTAACAGTAAGTTACTATTTGTTCATGCTCACAATTTCAAAGTCCTAAAATTTGATCATATCCCATTCCAAAAGCTGATCTTTCACAAGGTAAGATTTGTTACCTTTCATCTAATAATACACTTAATACATTTACTGAGCCTACAACACTCATTAATATAGTTTCACACTGCATTCAGTTAAGCTTTAGCTCTGCATAATCTTATGTGCACACTAGATAATTACCTCGTCAGAGGCAGCACTTTGCACTTTGGGAGAGATGGAGGTCTGCAAAGCTATGGAGAAAATGCTTTATTTGGCAGCCTTCATCTTGCTCTCAAGTGAGGTTGAGTTGAACCACTTCTTTTTTTTTTAACTGCTTTCTCCTCAAGTCTAAATCTGTATTTCTGAAGCAGTCATCATTAAAAGGGGAAATTTACAGCAGTTGCTGGTAGTTTGGGGAGCAAGTACAAAGGTCGAGTTAGCTGCCCACTTCCCTCTTTCCTGCTGTATACAAACTTTATGGTATGACTAGACAAAACCAGGATAATTTCAGGTTGATTTCTAGTAAACACAAAATCAAATGAGAAACCTAGGTCTTCAAAACAAAAACTGCCCAAAATCTCCAAAACAAACATACAAACGAAAAAAAACCCCACCAAACAAACACTTTCCCAACAATATACCACAGCTTGGAGGGAGATCAGAGCCGGTGTGGAGGTTTTTTGCAGTCAGGCTGGACTGGAGCTGCTGGTCCCACAAATGAGGATGTTTGTGAGCATGCAGAGGTGGCAGGACACTGCTAGTCCAGCAGCCAGGACACCAGGCCACCTCTGTGGCTTCACCACACCTCTGCTCTGGCACCACGATGTGCTGTTCATGAAGGAGGAACCCTGCTCCCATCTCTGGTACCCACTCACTGGGCCAGGAGGAGCGCAACAACAGATCCAACCAGACGGCCTCTGGGGAGCTCTCCAGCCAGAGGAGCCACAAAGATGGATCTGCTGAGAAGTCCTAACATGTTACAAAGGTATATCCAGAATGCTTCAGAGCACATACAGTTACTACAATAACCATGCTTCCATTCAGCTGCAGTTATGCAGAACATTCATTCTGATGGGAAAGTGATTTTTAAAGCAGTAAGCAGTTTGTATAAACACAAACATCCATGAACACAAAGACAGACTGCGTGGACTGCAGTGTCATCTGCAAAGATCTGCCAGACACAGAAGTCATTTACTCAGCTTTCCACAACAGCAAGCAGCACAATCTTGAAAGCAGATTTGCCTGTAACTAAAGCAAAGAACTTGTATCTGTTTTGTTAGGTAGTGTTCAGTCTTGAGTCTACATGAGGACTTGTCATAGGCTGTGTAGTTAGCTTACCATAAGCTTTACGGGACCCTTAATTTTGAAATCATATGCAGCAGGGTTTCACGTGGGCACAGCTGTCTGCAACTGACAACGCTCTGTAAGAGTAGATGCTTTTCCTTCAGAGGTGCTTAAGAAAACAATAAAAAGGGAAAAATACACTCCCTTTTTTGCAGAAAAACCTCAACACATTTACAGTCCTTTGTTAACTAGGAAGATGGCTTTAAACAAAACTCCACAAGTGACTAGTAGTGCTACGTCCACCACTACATGGAAATGAAATACTGATAGTAGCTGAAAGTAGACAGATGTTTTTTCTAAGCTAAAAAAGAGAGATGAAAATAAATTCAGACCTCCAGGTTATTTATTTGAAGATCTTAAATTCAATTTTTAGGAATCTAACACGCTAAAGTATTTTCGTTTCAAAAAATGAGTAACACTCACATGAACATACACTCTGTGTAGACTGTAAATTGAAATAGCAGTAAGTTTTACTAGCCTCTCTAGTACTTTCTTATACTACTTCTTATACTACTACTGTATCATGTAAACATTCTGCAGAACAGTTCTGACTCCTATTTCGAATCCTGTCCGTCCTTAGAGGCCTCCAGATAGAGGTAACAGTGGGAAATTTCAACTAAGGAGAATAAAGATGTTATGGTGAAGTCATTCAGTGACCAGCTCCTACCTCAGGAAGCTTGTGACTCTTAGTATGGACAAAAAGATATGTTTTACCTCAAGGTTACCAACACTGAAAGTACAGATAAATCAGAAAACAAAAAATCGTGAAATCTAAACTAATGTTGGCCAATTTAACATGTGGTAGAACTGCCTGGGGTTCCTCAATTAATTTCAGCTACTTCAAGGTGAAACACACACCTATTTTTTTCACATTGTTCTAAAGTAGGACCTATAACATCACCAGGAAGAGAGCAGTTCCTGCACTCCTCACGACCACACAAAAAATTTTGCTAATTTTGTGACAATACTGTATTTTATAACAGGACTCAATAGCAGGAAATGTAACCTATAAAACCAGAAGGAAGGCAGAAGGAAGAGGTTTTCAAATTTTTGAGTACTTGGATCTGTCTTCAAGCACAACATAGAAAATATTCTGGGATTTTCTTTAACCCTATGGAGAAGCCAGCATTTTAAAGCCATATCTACAGTTACAGTTCATCAGTGAGCTAAAGAATCATCAGTGAACTCCCTGAGATACTCTATCACAGCTTCCAAGATGAGGATCCTGTTTGTTTTATTAAGTTCCTCTAATAGCACCACAATTATCCCATGTAGAATAATGCTCCACATTGCAAAAAGCCATGTCTCTGGAGCTGTGAAATAAACCTAACAGTGAAAGTTACTTCAGCTGTAGTACTGGGTATGTTACATTTCCGTGGCACTACCTTTTTTTTACCTATTCTAAGGTGAAATTCTATGTTGATAAAGTTAGGTGTTTTCTAGTTTCAGAAGCTTATGAACCAGAGTAAAGGAAGAACTTTTGAATTATGTTAAAATCCAAAGCAAAACTAAGAGGGATTATTAAAAAAAGTGAAATTAAATCTTTCAGTAAGACTAGCAGTGAGTTTTCCAATGTGGAAATAAAATTGGAGAGCAGGATCTTGCTCAGTAAACGTAGTATTTTCAGCAAATAGACTGTAAA